CGTCTATATTTTCCACGTGCGGCAGAAGAGAAAAGCTTTTCTTATTGGGAGGACAGCAACGCAACGACTCGATCGCGTATCGAACATCTATTCGCGGGAAACGTATTCTAAACGGATCCGGCCGTTTTGAGAACATCTGCCGGTACAATGGAATTTCGCGGGAGAACGAGCAAGAATACGTAACGGGTAAAAAGCCTATTTGGCCCTTCCGTTCCTCTCTCTCTCTCCGTTTCCAACACGGCCGCGAAATATTTCTATCAGCCCGAGTTTGTTGCTTATTGTTGGCAATATAAAAAACAGTGTAACTGCTTATTGACTTCCGTTAATTCATATGAATCTTACACATTTATAACAATTTCATTTTGCATGAAAAAGCAGTTATTAATGAAATATCATCATTCGGTCCATAATTGTAATTACTATTCTATCTCCCACGACGCATGCAGACTCAGCTGGGGAGGATTTCTGCGGATCGTAGTATATTTTCGTATCGCTAGTTATTTTTATCATAAGCTGATTCTCTTCCCTTGAAATCCACAAGACAAACGACGGAGAAAGACTTAGCCCTCCCATCTCGGGTTTTAAAATTCCTCGCACGCGCATAGTACGCTCCAGCTGGTTACGCCCGCACGTCGGTTTGTTCATTCAACTTCGGCGAATTCGTCGAGGTGTTCGTCAACCGTGAGAAACAATGAATGGAATCTTGTCAACGGACCACCCGCTCCATTTTCGGAAGAAAAGAAAAATTACCGGATCGATTCGCGATAACACATGCAAATCTTAACAAATCGTCGAACGATTACGGCGGACAAATTATTCATTTGTTACGTGGCTTGGCTCTCGCGCTAATTATGCTGCACGAATTTATCTATGCTGAAACAGGTGTAATGAATTTATCTTGCGTCACGTGACGCGACGGTATATCATACCAAAATGTTCCCATCGATAATTCTCTTCGATTTTATGTAAGCGCGTGAGTAATATTTTCAGAAAATTTAATCCGAAGTTCTGTTTGAACTATGTTACTTTATTCATTCCGTTCATTACATTAAACTCTCTCCTCGGTTGGAACTGTTCTTTTGCTTTAGCATTTTGTTTAATTTTCAGAAACGTAAAACGAGGAAATGTATAAAATATGAACATAATGGAATGCAAGTTTAAATTTACTGTAGTTATATCCATCATCAATTGCTAACTAATCTTCATACTGAAATTGAATTTAACACATTCAAAATATCTTACAAAGGAAGCTACGTATACCACTGCGATAGTGTAGAAACCTTCAATCACTGTTTCAACCCGAGCTATCAGTCATGCTTCGATGGCAGACGCGCTGTTTCCTATTTAAAGATCCCTAGGACTTTGGAGAACAGGTCACGCGAGCCAAGAACACATGAGAAATAAAAGAGAGAAGGGTCCCCTGGCTTCGGAATACACGTAAGTTGTTTTATCCGAGCGATCGATTGCAACTCGGGTTTGGAATCACGGCGAAGACGGTGTAAGGTCGGTGAAGGTCTAGGGCACTTCGGGCCGAGAGAGAGCTGTACGCGGCCAGATTTATAATAGATGCACATGGCATGCTGCCAGCGCAACGCAATGGCGAGAGGCGCCACAATATTGCCGCTTAGTCACCCCGGCTAGGGTTCTTCTTCTCTTTGTTTGCCCCACGCAATAAATAAACGAAACGAGCCCAGAAAAGTGAATATTTACGAGAGAATTCGAAGACCATCTCGGTTATACGCTTCTTCTGCTCTACTACGTATTTATCGCATCTTCATGTGATTCCTTTCTTACTGCTTTTTCCATTAACTGGCAGTCTTTACTCTGATGGCTGTATTTGCAGCTGGTATATTCTGACCATTCAAACGACTATTTTTAACCACTCATGTTTTATATATTTTTTATTGACCTGCATTCCACTTTATGTTTTTATTACAACTGTTCAAGTACTTAAAGTAGCCAAAATACTATAATCGATGAGGAAAGAAATTTTTAGTAGAATATTCCGATAGTATGTGCAAATAATTTAGTACCTATTATATTGGATAAGACATGTTTTTCAATAAAAAAAAAAAAGGTCCTGCTCCGATTCTGACGAAAGCAACGAACCGCATGCCTACGCGAAACGCGGGGCCGCAATTCGTTTACCGCGGTTAGTTCTCCCCGAGGAAATTGCGCGACGCTAATTATCGAATGGCGCTCGCCGTGGCGAACGCGGAGAGTATCGGCCGGCGCCAGACAATTAGCTTGGTAAATTCCGCGAAGAAGTTCGCCAGGACGCAACACGGGAACGGGAACGGGAACGTGCACAAGCGAACCGAACGGTCGCGATGGTTAGAAGGGGTTAAACAGAAACGAGGGATAGAGAAAGAGAGCGAACGCACGGCCGAGTTAACTTTAATTGCCCGGTTGGCTACATAATAAATGACATTGCAGACGGCCGGACCGGAGGAAAAATTGTTCCGTCGTCCGCCTCCTACGCTCTCTTCAACTCTTTCCCCACTCGCTCTCCTCCATTTGCTTTCATCCAGTTTGTTTCGCTGGAACGATTCCTCTGACTGAGCTTCGGGAAATTGAAGCGTACTGATGGCCGTGTAATCTTATTCTTATTAGAGAGGCATTCATCCCGGACGCGTCACTTTACGTAGATTTATTGGCGAAATTAGCTCCTCGATTCCTGGATTACCAAGTAGGATACAGTGCGTATGTACAGTGGCATTGATCTGTATAAAAATTTTACATTGTTTTATATTACTATTTAACACTGCAATTTCATACGAATTCGTGAAATTCCAGTCGAATTACTAAATTCTTGAAACGGACTGGATATTGTAATTAGGTTCGTTTGAACCTGTTAAGACAGACTTTGAACCGTCCGTCCACAACAGGTACCTGTAAACTTAATTAGCAGCGCACTGGGCGATACCGCAGATCACGTGCACAAAAAAGAAACTTTTTTTTATGAATAATTCTCTGAACGTGCAAAGAATTCGGTTCGTACGAATTTACAGTTGTCTTGCGTTCAATTTGTGTACGTGTACAAAACTGTTATTTGATAACTTGGTACCCACTCACGGCATATAAATCTAGTAAATTCTGTTATCAGTTTCAGTTATTATCATCATCTAGCGTGGAACAATTTTCGTTCGAAGAAACATGAATAAAACATACAATAACGTTGCCTGCAACCAATCTCTTTATCGACTCCGTGACGAGCGTCACTTTCCGACTTCCGGCGCATCGACTTTCCTTCCGCAAGCTTTTTTCTTCGCGTTTCGCGCTTTAAGAACGCGCTCTGGATGCCGAACAAGCGGCGCTTAAAGTACTTTCATGGCGGGACGACTAATTAGAGCGATTTAGCGTCTGTCGTCAACGTTTATTTGGAATGCAAATGCAGGTCTCTCCCAACCCCTTCTTCTCGGCTATTCACCCACCTCCATCTCTACCTCCTCTTTCGCTTTTTCCCGTTGCTCTTTCCACGGCCAACCCTATTCCATCTCTCCTCGTTTTTCTCACCGTTCCTTCCGGTAGCTGTTCCCCACTGCGTTCCTCTCTTGGTTGCTTTTCATCTCCTTCTGCCATTCGGTCTCTCCATTGTTTCCTCTATTTTTCTATTCCCTCTGTCTCCTGTTCGCCCGTTCTTCTCACTTCCTTTCTTTCACCACATTCTTGCTCGATGCATTATTTTTGACCTTTTTACTTTTTACCTCTTCACATAGAATCTTCTCAGTCATAAAATGCGAAGTTTAAAGAGTGGTTCATTGATACCCTCCGAATAGTAATACATTGACTGAGAAACTTATTGATTCGAGTATCAATTTAGAGATTTACAATCTCACAAAAGACTAGTGCTTTAAAAGATTGGTAAAGCGACGGAAGTAACGGAGATACGATTTTCCTCAGTTTTCTTCAATTAGCTATTTATTAACTTGTTGCTCACTGTTCGAGACTCGTTTAAACAACCCCACTGGAGGGGGATTCAATTTACCCGAATTACTTTAATTAAAACTCGGGCGATTTTCTAACTACTTTAACTCGCGGTCTGACAAAGAGAAGCTGGAAAAATTTAATTGTTCCAACCCGCTTTCCAACTTCATTTTTTTTCTACTCTACATTCGGGACGGGGTGCAGCCAACAAAATTTCCTTACGTAAACTGAATAACCTAAGCAAGTCAGATAATGATTTTGATTTCTGTGAGAAAAAGTGTACAGTATTAAAATATTTTTTTAGATTGTCCATTATATTGGTATCTTTTATTGTTAAAATTTTATTCACCGTTAGTAATCTTGTAAGATAAAGACGAAAACGCTTTCATTCATTGCCATCATCGTCTTTATCGTGATACAATTGGATATGTTTTTACCAATTACGGAGTACGCGCGACTCGACTGCAATTTATAACGAATTTTAACAGGAACGATTACTCACGTCTGGTCTGTATACGGTGCCAGTGCGTGAACTCCTGCAAACCATAAATGTGGTTTTCATGACCATAAAATTCTGGCCAGCCGACAATTACGTCTGCGACTTTCTTTTCGATTGCCGAGAAACCATGATCACAGCATCACTTACTATTTTCGGTACCAAGTACCAACCATGCCAACTGGTTATCGTCTTCGTACAAACTTTTTATTTTTCAAACCTTTCCAATGAATCTTTCTTCATACACTATTTGTAGATATCTACCGAACTTTATATGAAAAATATTGAAAAAGAAATGTTTTTAATTCTGATATCAGATTCGTAATCAGCGACCTCAAAAATCTTGTATAGATATATGTATATATGTATGTACGGTAAACTAGGATTTTTGAAATTAAATAGTGTTTGTATTTTATGACTATTTCTGTGAAAATTCGTGACTCAAAGGGTTAACAGAGTAAATATAAATGGAAATCATATATTTGTATAACTTCAAACTCCTCTTGCTTTTTTATTTTTCTATTACATGTCAAGTGTGAACAAAAATTGGCATATATTTGTTTACTTCTATTTGCAGAAAATATGCGTCTTCCAAAAAACGCTGGAAGATCTGTCGTCGCGGATGGCCGGTGCAGAGGCGATCCAGAGCGGCTGGCAGAATCCAAGCGACTCGAACGAGGCGACGGAAATGTTGAAGCAGTTGGAGAAATTCGGCGAACGACTCCTACCAATCCAGAGGAGCATCGAATACGCGAACGATCAGGCAAGCGTCTTCGCCTCGAGCAGCGTCATCGTTTCTCATGCTTTGCTGGCGAAACTCGAAGATCTCAACACCAGGTGCGTTCTCTTACCGGTTCACCGGTTATCTTTCCACGAACGATGTTGGCTTCCGAAAATTTATTACGCTAATGCGATATGCGCAAGTTTTCAGTGAAAAGTCCTATTACGAGGAATTTAGGGCGAATAGGACTAAGTAAGACATTTTACGTTCTGTACCCTTCTTACATCAAAATTCAGACGACTTTTATATAAAATGTAATGCAATTCAAAAAACCAAAAAGTATTAGGAATATCAAAGGTTGCTTGCATATCATAATAATTGAACGATCAAAGAAATATAAATATAAAATATACATTTTAAATTGATACCAGAATTCTATTAATTATTTAAATAATATTGGCAAATTTGCAATTAGTTCTTTCCTGTAGATATGCACCTACATACGTACCAAAGTAACGTCATCGAAAGTTAAATATTGCTCGAGATATCCCATGCTTAAACATGATAAATTGATATCGATTATTCTTGGAATCTATGAAGCAGTTCAGTACGTATTATAACACAGTGCATTCGTGATCTGCATGATATTCTTAGAATATCTATCTAATATGAATAGAATTTATATAATATTTACAAGGTACATTACAATATTAAATTTAATTTAAAAAACCTATCATGTTCAATTATTTACACATTTTGTATCACATCCTCACTATGCATATACCAGTGCACTATTTTGATTAACAATGAGTGATATAGAGTCATTATGACTATTTCTGTGAAAATTCGTGACTCAAAGGGTTAACAGAGTAAATATAAATGGAAATCATATATTTGTATAACTTCAAATTCCTCTTGCTTTTTTATTTTTCTATTACGAGTCAAGTGTGAACAAAAATTGGCATATATTTGTTTACTTCTATTTGCAGAAAATATGCGTCTTCCAAAAAACGCTGGAAGATCTGTCGTCGCGGATGGCCGGTGCAGAGGCGATCCAGAGCGGCTGGCAGAATCCAAGCGACTCGAACGAGGCGACGGAAATGTTGAAGCAGTTGGAGAAATTCGGCGAACGACTCCTACCAATCCAGAGGAGCATCGAATACGCGAACGATCAGGCAAGCGTCTTCGCCTCGAGCAGCGTCATCGTTTCTCATGCTTTGCTGGCGAAACTCGAAGATCTCAACACCAGGTGCGTTCTCTTACCGGTTCACCGGTTATCTTTCCACGAACGATGTTGGCTTCCGAAAATTTATTACGCTAATGCGATATGCGCAAGTTTTCAGTGAAAAGTCCTATTACGAGGAATTTAGGGCGAATAGGACTAAGTAAGACATTTTACGTTCTGTACCCTTCTTACATCAAAATTCAGACGACTTTTATATAAAATGTAATGCAATTCAAAAAACCAAAAAGTATTAGGAATATCAAAGGTTGCTTGCATATCATAATAATTGAACGATCAAAGAAATATAAATATAAAATATACATTTTAAATTGATACCAGAATTCTATTAATTATTTAAATAATATTGGCAAATTTGCAATTAGTTCTTTCCTGTAGATATGCACCTACATACGTACCAAAGTAACGTCATCGAAAGTTAAATATTGCTCGAGATATCCCATGCTTAAACATGATAAATTGATATCGATTATTCTTGGAATCTATGAAGCAGTTCAGTACGTATTATAACACAGTGCATTCGTGATCTGCATGATATTCTTAGAATATCTATCTAATATGAATAGAATTTATATAATATTTACAAGGTACATTACAATATTAAATTTAATTTAAAAAACCTATCATGTTCAATTATTTACACATTTTGTATCACATCCTCACTATGCATATACCAGTGCACTATTTTGATTAACAATGAGTGATATAGAGTCCCGAAAAGCATTGCATTCCATTAATTTTCATACAAAGCTTGAACGTTTATTCATCTCAAATATAAATAAAAAATGTAATTCGATTTTATTCAAACGATTCGCAAGTCGGTTATTTTCCAGTTGTTTCCGTATTGACGGAACAGTGCGACTAAGTTTTTCGCGTGTTTTCGCAGGTGGAAGGTGCTGCAAATGGCGGTTGACGAGCGTTACAAGTTGCTAAGCGGATTTGGAAAGGATGGCAGCACTCCGGGTAGCCAGGCTTTCCTCGCAAGCAGCGTGGAACGACCATGGGAGAGAGCCCTCACACCCGCCAAAGTGCCTTACTATATCAAGTAAGTAATCGATCTTCTTCTTCGTTCCTTCTTCGTTGCGTCGAATGAACGTTAAACTTAAGTCGAGATCGCCTCACCACATCCAGAGCGTAGCGTAATCTTGATAGCGAACAGACGAATAATTGATGAGATAATTCTGATTCGAGACAACAAGAAGTTTGCCCAGGGAAATCTTGCGTCGCAATTTCACAAATATTTAGTCGTGACCGTGCTTGAAAATAAATGAAACGATAGAAATTCCAATTTCGGGGCGGAGGCTTAACTTTGAATATTGATTGCGTAACTAGTATCACAAGGGAAAAAAGAATCTCGTGTGTTATATAGGTGCAATCCGAAACGTGTTTCCTATTTAATTGATTTCTCTCGTTACGCTTTATTTACCATTTCATAATTAGGGAAATTCCACTAATGATTTCAGTATTTTTATTTTGAGGATCCCAAATTCTGTTTTCCACACTTATTGCAAATTTGCTTCGATACAATTCTCAGTTTCTATTTAAAAATCTCTCAATTATCTTCTATATTTTTTACCAAGACCAATGAATTTCGTAAATTCTTCGGGCCGCAGATAAATTCTTAAAACCCGGGGCTCTGGTGGCTTGAGCCAAGAATTGCGGCCGGATTTAATGAAGATTAAACAAAGTTTTCTGGCTCAGCTTTGCCAAGTCCTCACTCTGAGCTAGTGGTGTGGTGCGGTTTTTGCGTGAAAATTGTCATGATTTCAGTCCTTAATCGGTCGGAGCATATCTAATCCCGTGCAAAACGTTTTACAGCCATGAATCGGAGACCACCCATTGGGATCATCCGAAAATGATAGAACTGATGTCCTCGTTGGCGGACCTGAACGAAGTTCGATTTTCAGCGTACAGGACTGCGATGAAGCTGCGCACCGTTCAGAAACGACTGTGCCGTAAGTATCCTTGACAGATTCATTAATTAGTAAAAGTACTTAGATAATGAGTACGTTAACCCGCAATGATACGGTACTTAAGTGTTTATCTACTACGAGATCTTGAGTCTTGTAATGTCATTCGGTATTTGTCACTTAAGAGATTAGTTTGTGACTTGGCTATATTAGTTCCAGCAACTGTAATTGTCGACGATCAGTGATTAGCCTACGTCTGTCATGGGCGTTCATTAACCGTCGTAATTTTCTCGATTAATTGTCCTGGCAACGATGACGCATTGCATCGTCGTTGTTAATGAATTTGATCTTTCGCGTGGTTCTGTTTTCCTTCGAGTACAAGTAATGCTTTCGCTCACGTGATTCTCATCCAGAAACCAGAATCCGTTATAGTAATTAATTTAGAATTTAGCAGTAATGTAATGATAAACATTATTCCTCTTCTTCTATTTCACATAAAAGTCCGCAGTACATTTATCAAATTTTGTATTTTTTTTTAAAAGTTTAACAGATGGAATATTTATAAAAAGTTAAAAATGAAACAATATTTATTATATACTGGATATAGACTGGAAATTTCCTTCTATAAATAGCTTTCGACTGTCGCGTCGGATTATTTACTTATTTCTTTGGTTGCAGTGGACATGTTGAGTCTCTCCACCGCATTAGAGCAATTCGATTCGCACGGACTCCGGGCACAGAATGACAAACTAATCGACATTCCCGACATGGTGACAGTCCTGACGTCCCTATACGAAGTGATAACAACGGACAATCCGACCCAGGTGTCTGTTCCGTTGTGCATCGATCTGGCTATCAACTGGCTCCTCAATGTGTACGATAGGTGAGCCAATCGATAATCATTCGTAATTAAATAAATCACAGTTCGCCGGTCATTTATGATCAGGCTGATAAAACGTCATTCCTGAGTTTGAAATTTTAAACGCTCTCGTTGCTCCATTTCAGTCAACGAACCGGTCAGATCCGTGTGCTCTCCTTCAAAGTTGGTTTGGTTCTGTTGTGCAAGGGTCATTTGGAAGAGAAATATCGATGTAAGTTTCTTATTTCATTCTTTCAGATAATTTACTATTTTACATTTTTTCCAAAAATACATACAATAAGTATAAATTTATGAAAAAATTAAAATGATGTGCGCCTTTTACAATAATATTTAGTAACGACAATTTCGTTATTTCAGACTTGTTCCGGTTGATCGCTGATCCAAACAGACTGGTGGATCAACGAAAGCTTGGTTTATTGTTGCACGATTGCATCCAAGTGCCGAGGCAGCTGGGAGAGGTGGCGGCATTCGGTGGATCGAACATCGAGCCGAGCGTTCGCAGCTGCTTCGAGAAGGCCGGTAAAGACAAAAACGAGATAGAGGCGGTGCACTTTTTAAGCTGGCTGCAACAGGAACCGCAGAGTATGGTCTGGCTGCCTGTGCTTCATAGACTCTCGGCCGCAGAGAGCGCGAAACATCAAGCAAAATGCAACATATGCAAGGAATATCCCATCACTGGATTTAGGTACTAATTCTTAGCAATTTACGAAATTCACAAATATAATTTACATTTTCTTAATGCATGCAAGAAATAAGAATTTTTAACATATTTTTTTAATTTAATAAATAAAAGAACGCTGCGTCTTGTATTAATATCTTACTTTAGTTCATCTTACGTATGTTTTTAATCACAGGTATCGTTGCTTGAAATGCTTCAACTTCGACATGTGCCAGAATTGCTTTTTCTCGGGCCGGAAGGCAAAGAACCACAAGTTGACGCATCCGATGCAAGAATATTGTACTGCGGTAAGTTCTCATTTCTCACTCTATAGAATAACTGTACTTATATGCCATCATCATAATGTGAGACAATAACGACCATTTGTTCTCTAGACTACATCTGGCGAGGACGTGCGCGATTTCACGAGAGCGCTACGTAACAAATTCAAGTCGAAGAGATACTTCAAAAAACACCCCCGGGTTGGTTATCTACCCGTGCAAACAGTTTTGGAGGGTGACGCGCTCGAAAGCCCAGCGCCGTCGCCGCAGCACAGCTCCCTCAGCCAAGACATGCATTCTCGTTTAGAGATGTACGCGTCCCGGTTGGCGGAGGTCGAACTTTCGCGCACTAGAAGCAATTCAACGCCGGACAGCGATGACGAGCACCAGCTGATCGCCCACTATTGCCAGAGCTTGAATGGCGGAGACAATGTGAACGTGCCCAGAAGTCCGGTGCAAGTGATGGCCGCGATCGACGCTGAACAGAGGGAAGAACTTGAAGCAATGATACGCGAGTTGGAAGAGGAGAACGCGACCCTGCAGGCGGAATACGAACGACTACGCTCGAAGCAGACGCCAGGCTCAACGCCGGAGGATGGCCACGGCAACAGACAACCGGACTGCGACATGATCGCAGAGGCGAAACTGTTGAGGCAGCACAAAGGTAGATTAGAGGCGCGCATGCAGATACTCGAGGATCATAATCGTCAGCTGGAGGCGCAACTGCAGAGACTCAGACAACTTTTGGACGAGGTACACTTTAGTTACTACTACGCATTCGTTTCAGTAATTGTGGTTACGCAATTAAGGGTTGCTAGATAAGTGGAAGCTTCTTAAGAGTTTGTAGAAGTTTCTCAGAGTTTAATGTAAATTTTCGGGTGACGTAGTTTAGGGGATAGTTTTATGAAGCTTATGATAATAAGATTCGCTGTTTTTATCGTTTTGCAGCCAAACGCTTCCTCGCCATCGAAGACGGGCACGCTGCAGACGCGAAGCGTGACGGCGTCTCAACTCGCGACAGACTCACCTGCTAAGATAAACGGGCATTATCATGATTCTCCAGGTATGTTAAATACAATACAAGTGCTAACTTTACGTTGGCATTTCGTAAACAGAAGTGGCGAATCGAATGTTCCTCGTCATTTACGAAAACATTACTTGTCATAATAAAAATACTCATTTTTCATCAAATTACTATTATCAGACTACACGGATGTTTATACAAATTCAATATTTCAGATATAATGTATTAGATGAATATAAAGACTTGTGTATGTTCAATTTTATTCATGATTACAATTCATAAAATTAAATTTCTTACAAACGTATAAGCATCCACAATATCGTAACTATTATCGGAACCGGATAAAATCTTCTTTTGTGCCTATCACGCGTGGGTTTAGATCGATTTTCAATGCCAACAGTATCACAGTCGTTATTCAAAATAAGTGGGCGCAGGGTATTTCTGGCGTTAGATACTAACCGCATATTAATGAGCGTTTCACAACGCGGCGAGAAGACTAGCATATAAAGCTTATTGGTATGGGTGTATATGGGCGTAGGTGGTGGAGGCTCGAACGAGGGAAGAGTGAGCAGTTTAGAGAGGCCACCACCGCCACCGCATTCTCACAGCGTTGCCCATAACGTGAGCAATCTATTGCACATGGCAGGTTCGTTTCCCCTCATTCTTTCATGTATTCAATCATTCTTATACAATCTTATTTGAAGAAAAAAAATCGCTGTGTCGAACGTTCTCTTATGCACGATTTCGTTTCATGCTTGACAATAACCATGCTTTTTCCTATTTTTCACGCCACAGAGTGGATGTAAGGTGAGACGATCAGTGCTTCTCCCCTGCTGCCTCCTTTTCTGTATACGGTGCTACTAAAGGCATTACTAAATCATCTCGAATTGAAAAACTACCATTTAACATCGTCGTGAACATTTGAAACAATCTTTAATATTCTCTGATGACCAGTTGTAGAGGTAGAGTGAGATATATAAAATACTACTTAATGAAATGTTCGAGTTTGCCATGCGAGCATTGGCAGAAAGTGTTGGAAACACAAGTCATATCCCAGAATTTGTCAGATCAAATCAGTACATCCTTTTTCAGGTATCTCACTCTATGTAAAAATGATTAATTGCACACTCTAATTGTCTTTTATCTGCTTTCTTTGCGTAATCATAAATTCTTAACTGCAATTCTCATGCGCCAAGCACTGTTTCCATTATTCATATGTTCGCATGTGTTTAATTGAAACGCACAATGCCTAACGTTTCCCTGTGTACAGAATAAACTGATTTTCAGTCGTATACTATAGTAATAAAGGAGGGAGTAATAAACTACTAGTAGAATGATTACTCAGTTGTTAAATTTTTCTTTAGGGGACTTAGGAAAAGCAGTCGGCGAATTGGTGACAGTGATGACCAGCGAGGATTCATCGAAAACGAATGGGCAAAGGGCACCACCACCGGCTTTCAAATAACGACTATTATCTAACAAATGACTAACTTCGAGGGTATTGTTTTGCGTTACGACAAATTGTATAACGACGAGAGAACGAACGAGAATCGACCGCACGCGTGCTAACATAAGATACACGCACGCGAGATACGCGAACTTTCCAAACATTTTAAATTTGAATGACCAATAACAAGAAGAAAAAGCCTGGCTCTAAACGCATATCATAGAGAGAGGGAAAATATCGCGAAAAAATGCAGGGTCAGGGTAAGTCGCCGCGCAAGTGGTTTTGGGTATTTTATAAGTTTTGATATACAACGTTGTATAGCTAAATTATAATATCGAATTTAAGACGATTATGGTTTTCGGCTAACGGCGGCGCCCTGAATGTTAAATTTTTCTCCACTTTAAAAACTACATACATATTGACACGTCATATCATTGAGATGAAAAAAAGAAGATTGTAATCATACGAGAAAATCGAAATCGAGTCAGTTGTTATTTAATGCTTGCTAGTTTAACAAAAGAAAAAAATACATACGAAGGTGATGATGAAACGTGTAACGGTTATAAGAGAATTAAACGAACGGAAATATCATTAACAATGCATGCAAAAGCAATGTATCAAATCACGTGCATACTCTATTATAGATCGTAGACTAATACTTACATTACCCATTCTGTTCACTGCCATGGACTCTTCCTCGACATTAAACGAAAAGGAAACAACAATACACGATACGATATGTACATGTTATATGAAATCTAGATGACACAGTATAAAGTATAAGAGAATAGAAAGGAAAAAGCGGCAGGAGGGCTGGGGGGTTGAAAGCAGAGAGTATCATACGGAAGTTCGCATCGACACACGACGACACACGTTTCACACACGAAAACAGGTACATGCATATCATTATATACATATACATATACATATATAAATAAATATATATAAATAAATAAATAAATAAATAAATAAAATAAATATACGTGGATACATGAGACACACATGTTAACAAAACGACACGTACACGCTGAGGACTTTTTGTAATCGATAATAAAAAAAAAGAAAACGCAAAGCAATGTGCATTATGACTTTCAAATCTTATTTTTTATCCGGTTACGATCGTTTTTTCATATTTTTTAAATGGATTTTAGATGGCAATGTCTATTATTTAAAGCCTGCCGGATGTTACTTATATTTAAGAGTATATCGAATAAGCATCTAATTTACAAACTGTAGACTGTATTCTGATATGTAATAAAGTTGTCTAGAAAATAATAATTCTCTTGGTATCATCATTATAAATACCACATTCCTCCTTTTATCGTGATGAAAAATAAGTTGTTCAAAAAAAGAAAGCTCTAAGAAAACAGATATTCATTAATCCTTTATTGAAGGAAACGCTTCAATAACAATAACTAAAACTCGAAAAAGGCCGAGAGCAATTTATTATTGAAAGAGTGATTAATGATTATTGGCAAAATCGAACTTATCAGTTAGTTAGCAGCACATCGCAAGGACGTTATTTCTCCGTCTCTCTCTTGATTGGCTTCCATGCGATCTGGTTTTAATCACACCCCGATAGAAATCGTAAGTGATTCAATAAGAAAATAAAGGATGGTAAGCAATCAAAGTGGGATTACTCTTGATATGCGTGACGCTTCAATACAAAAACGATATCTGCTCTAAAATAGTACAAAAGTACAACAAATCTATCTTATCGGATACAGATATACATGTTGAAGTATATAATGAAAAAAGGATTACGCGTATCGCAATATAAAGCGATGATTCCTTACAAATCATATTCCCTTGGATCGAATTCCAGCGTCGTCATCAACATTTTAAACATTCTTTCAACGTTCGTGTTTGCTCAAATTATATAAAAAAAATTTGAAAGTATGAAAAAGAATAATGCAAAAAGAATTGTTTAATTCTGATCCACTCATTATTTCTTTAGCTTGCATGTTCGATTAAAATGATTATATTGCCGAAATTGCCTGGAAAGTTGGGATCATCAAGTAAACGATTATTATTATTATTCCCGAGCCACGCGAGTAAATATAAGTTTTCGCGCTTAACGCAATCTGGCACACAGCGTTACGTGCAACGCGTATGCACGCACATCCATTTATGCAGGTATGTGCATCTGATCCGAGATGTTTCCCTAAAGTAGTGTGGCATAGCATAGGTGGCCTCGACCTTGGTGCATCGCTCGAATGCATCGTACTCCGTCCCACGCAGTGGCGTAACGCACCCAGGTGAGATTCTAAAATTTTCCTTGATCATGCTCTAAAGTAACACCCATCGTCGTGCTTTTACGAGAAAATCAATGAGGAATGTTTTAATTATATTAAAATATGCAATCCTATCCAATAAAATTGGAGCAAATATTAATAAAACATAAGAATGATATACACATTTTATATTTACTTATCGTTAAAGAAGAGATCAAAATATTTTACCTTAATAGGTGTTAGTAGTAATTAAGTTAATAAAATATGTCATTCTACTTTAAGGTAATATATTGAAGGAAAGAAAATTATGCAAATTAATTAGAAGCACTTTTCACTTAATTTAAAGTTCTTTTTCAAGGACCTGATTTGGAATACATGAGAAATTTCAAGAATTGAAGTCATTGATAAGCTTAGTACTTACATTAATGTGCAAACCGGTGCTGCGGTCAACATAAAACGAAGTTTTACGAGTTCCCTGTATCTCTACAAGATACACACGCTCCCGAGTTCATGTACAGCAGATTGAGTCATCGATACGTGACACGTATGCGAAAATGCATAAGCGAAGTAGGTTTAGTATTACATAGTGAACTCGGAGGGGGTCGAATGCGACTATTACCAATTATGGCACGTTTTATTGAATGCGGATTACCAGAGAAAACACGTAATACCTGATTTTATTAAACAAAAATTAATTCTCCTGTAATTACGAATTTTAAATAACAATTCACCTAAGAAGAAGAATGTTATACAAATTGTTTCATTTGAAACAAAGATTTCGTAAGAAAATTATTTTACATAGAAAGATTCTTTAGAAGCTGCGCGTTGCATAGCGGAGCGTTAGCATTATTAAATGAATTCCACGCATTCCTTCTGTGCAATGCTTTTCTCACGGGGCACTGAACGTCCTTAGAATACAGCAGGGACGCGAGTAAATCGACGTAGAATCACGCCAATGCACACACCCAAGTTATGAAGCATAGGATATAATTGCATATACAGCATGTTGCAATTTGTCTATATTTAATTCCAAGTATTAAACCATAAACATTGTTCGGAATTATTTGTGGTACTAATAATATCATATAAGAATTATATGTTTGATACAATATTCGTGTATTCGTCTTGTTTTTTTTTTTTAAGGTAGTTCACATTAGTAAGGATGGATAAAAGTTATATAAAGTACTAAGTAATGCATTTCGATTTATTTATAGAAGAGAGATTGAAATACGTACAAAAAAATTCTTTGTCATTCTATCACGAGTTCCGTTTCCAGAACAAGTTCTCGCCGCAGCATCCTAAAGCAACAGAGGGTCTGGAGAAAGTGGTCAGGATAAAGGTATACCTACGGTGCAGTCGATGGATTCTACAGTTCGTATTCTCCCTACATTTGATTTACAAATCATGTATATAGCTAACATTTGTTCACTACATGCCAGACTCATTGTCTTCTTTTTATCCTTCGAAATAAATAATTAATTGATCATAAATAATTCTAGTCATATTTACTGTGCATAATGATAAGTAGTTGCAAATGCAGGAAAATGGTAAGTAGAACTGAAACGTGCTTTTGTTCGATAGCTGTATATCTATGATAAAGTTATCATATGAACGGTTTTTGATGCTTTTGAAATACCATTCGTAGAACTCATGGGTCTACGTCAGAAGCTGACGTCATCGGTGTACAAAAAACCATCAATCGAACTCAGATCAAAAATGAGCTTGGTAATAAGCAGCGTTTGTAAAAAAATAGAACCCTGAAAAGCATCGTGTTCGTGTACGACTTAAAACTAACATCTACTGTTCCAAATTACTTCAACCAGTTCCCTTAAAC